AAAGATTATATACTATACAAACTATTCAAGTCATACAAAACCATTTTTCAGTGCCTTTCAACTGAGAAGAATCCTATTCAGCACGCTTCTCCTCCTGAGGTGGTTCATACTGGGCAAGCTATGGGGCAAAAAATAGAAGTGTTAAGGTGAATTTTATTCTAAATTGGGTAAAAGCAAAACAAGATGACTTAATTATTCAATTTCATTAGTAATCCAGTATGCTTGTTAATATCAGTTTCTATACCTCTCCCTTTTAAAACCACTAAATGATTTACAATTTAGTACAAAAGGGCCCCTTTCATATAGAACTTATAAAATTACTGGAAACTAAGATATAATTCTAGTTCATGACTGTACTGCTCAACTACATGATATGCAACCACATAATATGCAAGATTTCCAAAGATTATAAAGTTGTAGTTTATATTTAACTTTGTCTTTCTCTCTACCAAAACTGAACTTTCCCCTAAAAAGTAGAGAAAAAGCAAAAAAGAAAGTCAAGAAAAAGTACACTGCCTTTGACTTAAGGGGTACCAAAAAAATTAACTGACATTTTTTTATATGAGTCTTTGATCGTTTGCAATACTGCATTTTCCCATAAATTAGATCATGGTTCCCCCTAGAGCACATTAGGCTATGGGAAGATTTGAGTTCTACCAAATCTGAGCAGCTTGTTTGCTTGTATGCTTCAGTTTCCTTATCGATATACTGGTTTCACTGATCTATCTATCAAGGTTGTTGAGATAAACGCATTGTGAGAAATACCTAGAGAAATGTAAAAGCCCCTTATGTAATTCAGAATGTGGTAAAACCTCAAAGATTTAGAATTTTGTGAAAATTCTCAAGGAAGCTGGAACAAAGGAAAAACTTGAGCACTAGCAAAAAAATACATTTACAAACTATTTTAACCAGGGCCACCATATATGAAGATTGTGCACTAAGTCTAAGAGGAGCTCTTCACAAAGCTGTGTCTTTCTGTTCACTTACTTAAATCAATTTTAAATTGATTTTAATAAAAAAAATCACCTACTTAAAATTCAATTCCTTATCAACAATATTAATTTTCTCCTTTTTCCAACACAGGTTCCCAGGAAGCTCTCTCTTGCCCACATTTATCCTATCAGAGTTGACCTAGGAGCTTTCTAAAGGGGCTTAAGTTTAGTCTTGCAGTTAATTTAGATTGATGTTTACCCTCCTTATTCCTCCACTTTCTATCAGGGAAATTTTGCTCATATCATCATTAAAATTATTTTTAACATGACTCTCTTTAAAAGTTTACCTTTGTTTTCAATTTTTTGTTTTCTTCTACAGTAGCTTCATATTTCTCTTTCATTTCTGCCAATTCTAGGCGGAGTAGTTCTATTTCTGGATTTTCTGGGGTTGCAGCTCCTAAATGATGCTTTAAAAAGCTAATACCAATGTTAAGAATTTATTTCTTCAAGTTAAATGAAACTAATTAAATAACCCAGAGGGGCAATTTATGCAGAGATCATCATTCAAAAACTTAAAGAAACTTTTCCAATAAGCATATTTCATTGAAGATTATCAGACACAAAGCTTATTTCTATCTGACTTCAGAGATGAAAAGGATACTCCAAAGCACTGTTTGGTTTCTCTGGTTCTTCATATAAGGCTACCAACACTGCAAATTAAAAAAAAGGGGGGGGGAAGCAGCAATTAGTCAAATTTGAATATACTCTTTGCATAACCATAAAACCCTCAAAACACACTGCTGTCAAAAAAATAAAAAACAACCACCACTCTGCTGTCAAGTTGGTTCACTCACAGTGACCCTGTATCAGGTTACCAAGGCTGTAAATCCTAAAAGGAAGAGACTGTTCATCTTTCTTCCCTGGAGCTGCTGGTGCATTTGAACCACTGGAGAATTTTGGTTAGCAGCACAATTCATTACAGATTTTGCAACCAGAGTTCCTTATTCCATAACCCAGTAAATAATAAGTACCTAGTATTTGCCAAACATTTGAATAGGCATTATGCATACAGTAAAGAACAAATCGGATTTTTTTCCCTCTCAACAAACTTACAGTTTAGTTCAAGGGATAAATAAGGAACCAGACAAAAAAAAATTATAAACCACAATACTAGTCTCAACCTAGAACATAAGGGAAGGATTCCTAAAGAAAGGGAAATAAGCCTAGAAGTTACATGTTTCAGGTAAAATGAGGAGGCCTGAAGCAAGAAAACAATACAATGAGGAACTGAAAATTCAAGTTTGGGTAGATAGGTGACTAATGTATTAGTATGGGAAAGATGATCAGAAATCGGACTAGGGAGGATCGTGTAAATTTGGCTGGATTTTGATCCTTAGAGAAGGCATATAATGAAACCATTTTAAGCCAGGCAGTGACTGGATCACTCAGGACTGCAGTGCAGAAGATGAACTGAAGTAAGACAAGAATAAAGGCAGGAAGCTCAGCTAAGAAGCTGATGTAATAATCCAATTAAAAACGTATACAGTGGGAAAAAAAATGTATACAGTGCCCTGCACTAGGAAAACAAGGTAGGTGTGTTTGAGAAGAATTTAGGAGAGCAGTCCATGGACCTTACTGGAGAAACTGAATAATCTTCAAGAACAAAGTTTAGATAAAACATTCTAAAAACTAAACCAAAACACTTTCCCAATGATCAGCATGCTCGAAACACCACCAAACATGTATTTAATGGTTTCATATCTAATAATTCATGTCAATACTGTCTTACTCATCTTTATATTAAATTCCTCATAGAATTAGTTTATTCCTCTAAATTAGTGGTTCACCTTTTTGTGTGTCATGGAATCCTTGGAAAAATTGGATTAAAGCCAAGAGCAATGTAAAAACACCGAGCACATATCCAGATCCCAGGTTAAAAACTGTTGTAAACCAGTTTGCATGCTTCCTCTTTGTTTTTAATTTTATTAACTTACCAAGACTTAGTATTTTTTTAAAAAACCAAATGAGGACTTCCATTGAGTTTTGATACATTTACAATACTATTAGCAACTGACATAATACTAATACCTCTCTTTTCCTGTCTTCTTTCAGCAGCAGTTCTAACAAGTAAATCAGCTGCCATCAGGTTGATTCCAAGATAGATCTCTGCTGTATAAGATTTTCAAGGCTGTGATAGAAATAGATCACCAGGAATTTCTCCCCTCATACCTCTGGTGGGTTCAAACTGCCCAACTCTTAGTTAGCAGTTGAGTACTTCTCTGTTTCCAACATCCAGGGACAGACTCCCTGACGGCTGCTGACCCAACCACCCTATTCTGACTCCTAACAACCCTATAGATCTAGACAGAACTGACCCGTAGAGTTCCCAAGGCTGCACATCTGTTCAGAAGCAGACTGCCAAAACGTTTTCCTACAGAGTTGCTGGCAGGTTAGAATTGCTGACCTTTAAGTTAGAAGCAGAGCACGTAACCATTGTACCACCAGGACAATATCTGGTAGTTACCCAAACCTGAGTCAATTCTAACTCATAGCATCCCAAGATTACCAAGTAAAACTGCCCCGTAAGATTTCCAATGCTATAAATCTTTATGGAAGCAGATAGCCCACCCTTCTTGTGTGATGTGATGGGCAGATTAGAATCAATGGCCTTTCAATTAGCAGTCCAACAATTAATCCACAGCACCACCAGGGCTCCTCTGATAGTTAAAAGCCCAAAACCTACTGCCATCAAGTTGCCTGCCACCCAGAGCAGCCCTTTACGAGGTTTCTGAGGCTGTAAATTCTAACAAAATTAGGCTACCGGGTTCAAACTGCCTGGCTTTTGGTTAGCAGGGCAACATATAACTCATTACGTCATGAGGGCTCATGGAGAGCTCCTCTGTTAGTATTTTTCCTTCAAATTATGTACCTAAACCTATTTCTTCCATTAACTTCCACTGTCTCTATTGAATCTTAACATTAATAGTCTCATATCTGACCTTTTCAAAGGTGTAGAAACACTTAATCAGAACTGGTGATTCAAATCCACCCAGCCACTCCCTGGGAGAAAGATCTGTTATCTGTTTCCATGAAGATCAAGAAATTTAAAAAAAAAAAAAAACCACCACACACCAAACCCACAACAAAACAAAAAACAGCAACAACCCTGTAGAGTAGTTATACTCTATCCCTCTGGCCACTGTCAATCAGAGTCAACTTGGTGATGCCCAACAAAATGCTGACTTTTCTGTTCTCTTATGTAAAAGACAAGGAGAACACCGTTCCTGTTATTTTCCCTCTTAACCTAGCATCTATGATTTCTGGGGATTAATGTAATGCTCAAAACAACATAATAATTTATATGCTGGTAAAATTAAAATATGTTTCTTCTTTCAAATGACTTACCATCATCATTTATCTTTAACCATACTGTCTTACAGAGTTTTAACATAATAATTGTAGTTGCAAATCCTTATGGGAACTAAAACTGGATAAAATCTGTAAATTCTGTGTGAAGTATCAGTGTTTGAGGTTGAAAAATCAAATGTTAAACAGACTTAACATAGGTACTATGTTGTCAAATGTTTTACTTAAATAATAAAAAAAAAGGTGGGGGGGAACCCTCAAACTCATTACTTCTGAGTCAAAACCAACTCATAGCTGACCCTCCCGTAGCTCTCAATCGCACGGGATGAAGCTGTGCACCTTTCTTCCTCGGAGTCACTGACGGACTCAAACTGTCTTGGGGTTAGAAGCCCAACTCCCTACAGCTAGGCCATAGAGCATGTTCTGTTGTTATTGAGGGGACTGGAAATCTAGGGAAATTGAGGATTTATAATCCAGTAGACCTGAACAAGGAAAATAAATCCTTGTATGGCCACAGTGATGCATCTTCTGTACTATCACTTTCCTACAACTATTACTTCTCTGCCTTTTAGCATTCTTCTACTCATTCTGCCCAGCCTCCCTGGCCTAATACTTACCTGGAACTCAAGACTCTGACAATACTTCTCAAGAAGTCTTCCTCCACTCATTCTATAAAATGGTAAACATTTATCACTTTTTATGCCTAGCTTGCTGTCTTCATTCATTTATAACACTTAACCACTAGCTGGCACTATGTAATTATCTGTCCCTCTCAACTAGAATGTTGTTGTTCCCATCAAGTCAACTATGACACATAGTAACCCTACGAACAAAGACTCTAAACTTTGCCCTATCCTGAGCCAACCTCACCACCTCTGACATACCTGACCCCATTGCTACATTCATCTCATCCAGACTATTCCTCTCCTACACTAACCTACCATTCCAAGCATGATCTCCAAGGACTGGTCTCTCCTGACAACCCATTCAAAGTATGTGAGATGACGTTTCAAAATCCTTGCCTCCAAGGAGCACCCTTTCCAGGACAGACCTGTTTGTTCTCTTGGCAATCCATGATATGTTCAATATTCTTCTCTAGCAACACAACTCAAAGGCATCAATTCTTCTTCTGTCACATCCTTATTCACTCATTATCCAGCTCTCAGATGCATCAAGATTATCAAGCAACTGAGAAGACCATAGCTAATGCTTTAGATTGGCATCATTGCTTTTTAGCACTCTGGAGAAGTCCCTGACAGCAGATTTTCCCAGTGCAACTCATCTTTTGATCTCCTGACTTCTGGTCCCAAGTTGTGAATCAAAGCAAGTTGAAATTGTTAACAACTTGAATCTTTATGTCTCATGATGCTGCCTATTGGCCCAGTGGGGAGGATTTTTGTCTTCTTGATATTGAGATGAAATGCATACTGAAGACTACAGTCCCTGATCTTTTGTAGCAAGCACTTCAAGCCCCTCAGTTTCCTTAAGCAAAGTTGTGTCATTTGTGTAATGCAGGTTGTTTATGAATCTTCCTCCAATCCTGATGCCACATTCTTAAATTTCAGTGTCTTGAATGATCTGTTCAGCATATATATTTAGAAAATGTGGACTCCTTTCTTGATTTTGAATTATGCAGTGTTCCCTTGCTCTATTTGGAAAACAGCTTCTTGGTCTAGGTATAGGCACAATCAGGTGTTCTAGGATTCCCATTCTTAATGTTAGCCCCAATTTGTTGTGATCCACACAAATGCCTTTGCATAGTTGAAAAAACACAAATAAGACATCCTTCTAGTCCTTCTAGTGTTTTCTTGTTTTAGCCAGGATCCACCTGACATTGTCAGTGATATCCCCAGTGCCAGAGGCTCTTCCAAACCCAGCTTGTTTTTCTGGTGGTTCTCTGCTGAGGTACTGTTCTAGTTGTTTTTTGGATAATCTTCGGCAAGATTTTGCTTGCAAGTGACATTAATGATATTGTTCAATAATTTCCACATTCTGATGGTCACCTTTTTTAGAAATGGGCATAAATATGGATCTCTTTCAGTCAGCTGGCCAGATAGCTGTCCCTCTATATTTCTTGGCAAAAACTACACCCAGGACTGCATCTGTTTGTTGAAATACATCAGCTGGTATTCCATCAATTTCCTGGGGCCTTATTTCCTACCAATTCCTTCAGAGCAGCTTGAACTTCTTCCTTTATTGAGCGTATGCTACTTCTTGAAATGGTTCTGTGTCAGCAAATTCTTTTTATTACAGTGACTCTGAGGAGAATATAAACATATAAAAGCAGGAAAATACATTCATGCCACCACTCCCACTGCTCTGTTCTCATGGTCATGAGCCAGATTTGACTTGAAGGTACTTAGTAACATGCCCAGTGCCTGAAACAAGATTTCAACAAACAGATCTCCTGCACTCTCTCTCTTATTGCCACTGAGTCAGAACAACTAAGTAATAGGTAACATTCTGTGGGTTTTCAGAGCTATAAACAACATGGGAGAAGACTATTCATCTTTCTCCCCTGAGAGCCACTGGTGAATATGAACCACAGAGGGGTACAGCCTTTAGGGTAGCAGTGCAACTTCCTATGGACTACCAGAGCTCCCTCAATGGAAAAATAAGTTTGTGGGGATATTCCACAGGGCAGTGTCATTAGCATTCCAAGCATGTGTGACTTTCAGAAATAACACAGCATGGCACTTTCAGAGAAGACCCTGAATGCTTGAAGTTTATTTGTAGAGACATTGTGAAATTATCATGAAACCCAAAAGAGGTAGTAATACAACATATGTAACTAAAAACCCTGCTTCCTGCCAAGACTCAGACCTGCTCCTCTCTAGAATTTCACCCTCAACTTTGCCCAAAAAACAATTACCAAATTATTTTTCAGACACTTCCTATTCTCATAGAGACCTAGGTCCTTATTCTTGCCAACTCCTCCAATTCTATATGCTTGACAATCCCAGGTAGTGGCAACATAGCAAGCACTTAAATTCCTACAGAGCTGAAGATGTTAAGCAGAGCCTCCAAGTGGTACAAACTGTGGTTCTAGATCGTATTCGAAGAAAGGTCTGGTGATCAACTTCAGAAAAATCTGTCTTTGAGCCCCCTATTGAACAGTTCTCCAGTACTTAAATGGGGAGTCAGAATGGCCTGTACAACAACTAGTCTAATGAAGTCAGCAGCACACTCTCCCAGAACCCTCCTGTTCCTCCCACCGTACTCACTGACTTAAGACTTAGATCCTTACCCCTTCTCAGAGGATGAGATACAATGTAATAGTAAACTTCCGTTTTAAAAAGATAAAACCGCATAACCACATCGGTGTGCCCTCAAACTCTCAAGTGTTATTCTACTCTGTACAATGTAAGGACTGATGAGACCCAAGAAACGGGCCGGGGGGGGCGGGGGCCACAAATTATTAATTGCCTACCATAGAGATTAGGTTTAGCTACTTCACAGCTCACTTTAGATCTACCTGGTTTCTCACTCGCCCCTGGGGGGAGGGGGTGTGTGAAGGCGGGCAAACTGTTTCTCAACAACATTCTGATGCTCTGCAAGACCTGTAAGGCGCGAATGCGGACGTCGAGGTCTTTTACAATCCTACTCACTGCGGCTGCTCAAAGCAAAGCAACGGAAGTTGGGCAAGACTTTGCAACAGCTGCGAGAGTTTCACTCCCTAGCCAGGACAGTGGTAGCGTGGATGAGCCTGCCCCATCGGAGTGCGCCCGGCATGTGTCGGCCCTCGCAGAACCCCAGGGCCCACCTTCCTGGACCCTGTAAGGGGGCCACCTGTCCTCCCACTGCCACACTACGGACCTTAAGAGACTCAACGCCGACAGGCAGGATGCGGGCAAGAAGCACGATCATCAAGTTATGCTCACCCTTTGTCAGCGTGTCCAGAACCCCCGACTTCTCTAAGTACCTCCGGAACTGTTCGCGCTTCGAGTCGGCGGCCTGAGGAGACACGGCGGGGTCAGTGGCCAAAGCCCAAAAAGGGCCAAAGCAGCAAGAAGGCGCCGGGAGTCCGGCAACCCCACCTTCTCCTCGCTAACTCAGGCTCCCCCCCAAAACCTCCGCGCACGTCCCTATTCCCGCCCGTCACCGACCAGCAGCTGGCTATCGTCCTCACACCCCTAGCCACGCCGCTTCCCCCTCACTTTGTAATGGGCCATAGTGACAGCGGCAGCGGCGGAGCTGGCGCCGGAGACAGTGGCTGGCGGGCTACGGTCCGCACCGTGCATGCGCGAAACCGGCCTTGCGCCTGCGCACTTGCAAATCACGGCAGGGGTCCCGCGGGGCGTGGCCTGTTTTCATGGCGACCAGGACGCTCTGGATTCCCCTAAGTCAACCTAACCGAAGGAAGCTGCATATGCCCGCCCCACCGGCTATCAAAGCCGCACGTCTTTTTCCTCTTCCGGCCAGCACAGATAGCGAGTTGCTTAGCAAAAGGCGAGGTTATAGTGACCTCGGGATAGGAGCGCGACGTCGGGGACTGCGCCTGCGGGCCCCTCGAGGTTGCTCTTGAGCCGAGGGACCTTCCGGTACGGGAGTGGGCGGGCCTCTGCTGGGACCTTTGAAGCCTTGGCAACCAGTAGTAACACAGAAGGGAAGCGACACCCAGCAGGGAAGCTTGCGTTTTTGTTGGCTTGAGGAGTGTTCAAGATCGCATTCTTTGTCCCTCCTCTTACATTATTCTGTGGCTAACTTGATGTGGGCCTTCGGAAAACGGGCAGTAATGTTCTATTTACTAGTAGTAGTCTTTATTTGTGGTGCTTACTGTGTGCCGGTGTTTATTTCAGTCTTCACAAGATATCCGCAAGGTAGATAAAATGAATTGTAGAGTCGGCCTGACTCAGGAACACCCCCACCCACCCAATCACGGTGCTACAGGTAAACTGGTAAAAGAAAAGCCATCCGTGTTTTTGTTTAAAATTTTATTTTCTAGATAGCATCATGATAATCCTCGAAACACATCAGGCTGCATTCTGTAAGAAAACTATTAGGCCGAAAGAGGCAAAAAGAATTTATGCAGGGTACAAATATAAAAGATTAATAACTAAAAGGAAAATTTATGTTGACCAAATGTAAACTGCTAAGACTGTGATACCTTCAAAGAGAAAACCTGCTTGCAAATCATTACAGCTCTATTCTGCACATTTTCCTAAAATCCATTTTCACAATTTGAAGGCAACCATAGAATTAAGCCTGATTTGGTAATGTTGCAATGGAATTTTCAATGGTCCCTTCACAACTCAGAATTAGAGATCGTTTCCGGGTTTTTGTTGGTTCATTTTACTTTTCTAGAGGTCCTTGGTAGGAGTCTAGGCTCTGGTGGCCTAGCCCATAGGGAGTTGCTGTAATAACACAAAGGGAATGCCTCTCGTGGTTGGAACCCACCAGCGGCTCTGAGAGAGAAGCATGGGCAGTCTCCTCCTCTGCGGAAACCTGAGGAGCTGTGAGTCCATTCTGACTCAAGGACAAGGAATTTTAGTTCAGTGTTTTAGATGGCAGACGTGTTCAGCTGCTAACCTAAAGGTTGACAGTTCAAACTTTGCCGCGCAGTACTATGGATGAAAACGCCTAGTGATCTGCTTTTGCAAGATTACTGTCAAGAAAACCCTGTCAAACAGGTCTACTTTATAATGTGTGGGGTTGCACGATGGGGAATCTACTCCATGGCAATTAGTTGGGGTCTCGCCCCTCTTAAAAATGAATCTTCCTGGACAGCTGGTCCTCAGAGCTGTCTCTCCTTATTTTGTCCTTGCCCCATCCCCACTAGGCCATTTTTACATGCAGAATGTCTAAAAGCCAACAGCTGTTCAGATCTGAAGGTCTGTGGGAGCCCGTCTACCCATGAGGTTGGTTGTTAGAGTCACTGAATGATATGGAGGACCAGCACTAGGACTTTTGCAGGTTTTGACAAACTCAGACGCAAAAGACGGCTCTCCAAAAAAATCAGGAGTGTCTGGAATGTCAAGTGGATCAGAGTCTCCCTGTGAAGGAAGGAGGGTTCTGATTGTGCCCTCCCCAAACTGACCTTTGACATTACCTTTAGGGTATAAGCTCTGGTTTTGATCTTCCTCTGTAGAGGAACCCCAAGTATCACTAAGCCCCTGGGGTTTCCAGTAGCAATTAGCTGGCAGACAGAAAACTGGAGGGGATGACTGCTCTATGTGGTTTTCTAAATCTGCAGAAACATCTCTTTCCCCATCTTTATCATAAATTTCTCTTCTTTCTCTTACCTGGTTATCATTAGCTTCATTCTCAAATATCTTAAGAGTTCCTTCATTATCATTTGAGCTGATGTGTTGAAGATGATTAGTTGTGTCCAACTCATTAGAAAGCAAGGTTTCCTGTTCATCCGGAACGCATTTCTCATTATTGCCACTATGATTTTCAGCATCTACTGGCAATGCAGAAGATGAATTTAAACTTGGACACACAGTTGGGTGTGTTTTCTTTTCAAATAACAGATTATAATCTGGTGCATAAGGATGTTGCTTTGGTGAATTTGCAGATGTGCTCTTATATTTTGCAGAATTTTGTTTTGATTTGTTTGCAAAGAATTCATCATGATGTTCATCTTTCAATTTATATTGCCCCCAAAACCCTCTTTTAATCTTTTTAATACCTAAATGAGCAATTTCTAGAACATTTAAGAAAAGTGAAACTGTCGCTATGGACTGCATAAATAATAGGAATATTGTTTTTTCTGTTGGTCTTGAGATAAAACAATCAATTATGTTTGGGCATGGGTGGCTTTGGCATTTAAATAGAGGCTCTAAGTGAAATCCATATAAAAGATACTGCCCAATCATGAACCCAACTTCAACTGCAGAGCGAGTGAAAATATGTATCACATAAGTGCAAAGCAAGGGTCCTCTGAGTGGAGCTTTATTTAGTTTCCTTTGCTCCAGCTGACAAAGTTCCTGTTCCAATCTCCTCCGATCCCCAGGCTCTTCAAACTCCACTCCCTCCAGTTCTCTTCTCAATTGCGTTTTCATCTTCTGCCTCTCTTTCTCCAGAACTCTCAGCTGGAACAAAGCATGACCCATGTAGACCAGTGATGGGGAAGACACAAATATTACCTGTAGAACCCAGTATCTAATGAGGGAGATGGGAAAGGCCTGGTCATAGCATACATTTCTGCAGCCAGGTTGTTCTGTGTTGCAGATGAAGCCCGACTGCTCATCATTCCAGACATCTTCAGCTGCTACGCCCAGAATTAGCATTCGGAATATGAATAGGATGGTGAGCCAGATCTTTCCGATCGTAGTAGAGTGGATGTGAACATCCTCCAGAATACCTCCAAGGAAATTCCAGTCTCCCATGTTTACTCAGTCAGCCGTCTTAGATCTGAGCCACTCAGTTAGGAGCCAGGTAGATTCTTCCATTGTGAAGAGAGGGCTGTTTCTTAATCCACACCTATGGCCAAAATATGAACAAAGCATCACTATTCCAGTGTATTGCTTGCTTTGCTTTTCCCTAGACAGCAGTGATAATTAGTGTTGTTCATTGTCATAGAATTGGCTCTAACTCATGGCAAAACAGGAAGTTTCCCATTCCCACCAGTAACCTCTTACCAGGAGTACATTTACGGCAAGTCAGGAATTTAAAATCACTTTTAGATCTAATAATAATTTTAAAATGTTACACCTTGGCAAGGTCTATATATACTCACTAATAAGAATAGACATTACTATTTGAAAAAATCTTATTTGGATGGTAAAAACTTTCTTCTTTTCGTTTTTAAACTGGAAAGTTTTCCTGACACTACTGGCTTCATCTTATAAGCTTATTAAGGTGATGCTTTTGGAAGAAGCATATCCAGAGTGTTCCTTACATCATCTTAGTTCCCTCAACATCTCATCATGAGTAGAACTAGTCCCTGCAGAGAAGCTATCCTGCTTAGTAAAGGCAAGGATCAGGCAGAAAGAATATACTTTTAGTTGCCATCAAGTTCCAACCTATATGTTGACCTGTATGTACAGAGTAGATATACTTGATAAGGTTTTCAAGGCTGTGATGGTTCAGAAGCAGATTTCTAGGACTTTTTCCCCAAGCAACTGTGGATGGTTTTGAACTACCAACCTTTCAGTTATTAGTCTAGAGCTGAGCCATTTTTTACTCCTAAGGATTTTATCAAATAAAAGTTATAGCCTAAGTCAATGATTTTGAAATCTATCTATTTACACTAAGGAAAATGAATGTGATATTTTAGTAAGATGCAGCATTTACTAAAGTGTGAGGAAACAGACCTTGTATTGGAATTTTTATTAGATTTTAAATACACATTTAAATATATAAATTTGGATTTCTTTCTAGCAGATGTTGAACATTTCCTAAGATCCATTTCAGTAACATGAATATTTATACATTTTTAACTATATTTTGCTATGAAAAAAATTAGCATGTTTTATATTAAGGAATTCCAGAAATTTTCTGTCATTTTATTGAAACAGTTAATTGTTCATGCTACTGATAAGAAGCCGTGCCGCAATCCCGACAGTACATGGTTCAAATCCACCAACTGCAAGTGCAGTTTCCTCTCATGTGATTGTGATTGACTGCCTCTGAAAACCCACTGGAGGGTCAGTGATGGGTCAGTTCCAACTTGACAAAATACAACATTA